AACCACCTACCCACCACTTACAAACCACCTACCCACCACTTACAAACCACCTATACACCACTTATGTTATCAACTACAATCCAACCAACACCTTAACATATCTATTCTTATAATATTTTATAGTTATATAATATTACTATAATATGTAATATGTTGTATAAATACCTTATTATTTTCTGCCGCATGCTTGCCAACTGCTACAATTGAATCAACTGAAACAGTCAAGAAAAAACCCTGAAATTGAAACAACATTGAAAGTTAGTTTATTTGTATGTGGTAAAGGCATTAAAGTCATAAGCACAGATTAGATACATCGCCTGATCAAATGATTCAGTGTTAACCACATGCACAGGACCAATTATTTTTAAACTCTTACTCATACTCTTAATCTCGTTGTAGGATCTAAAGGTCACAACTATAACAAGCAGAACTGTAGAAAACAAAGCTTGTTTTCAATGTTCTTATTAGAGTGGCTAATTAAACAATATTAAGCAACTTATTTTACTTCGATAACATGGGAAGTGGTTGCCCAATCTCCTCTTCCTTGGGCTCATGTTAAAAGTGCTGGACAACACCACATATTACATATACAAAATAATAATTAATAATTATGAAAACTATACTTAGAATAAATAAATATAACTTGTGTTGCATGTTGCTCATATTTGCCTTTAGGACAAAGTTAGCAAAGAACATACTTACAGCAATATAAAAGAAATCAGCTTTTTCTACTAAAGCCCAGTTTTCTGGTATATCAAGATGATCCTTTGTGTAATGATTGGCTGCGGCCAGATTAGCAACAAGTGACCTGAAAACCATTAATATTAGAATGGAGAGAATAAGAGAAAAATATCTAATGCCCTTGGCGGGAATTGAACACACGTCTTTGGTATTCTAGTCCGATGTGTTAACCACTCTACAAGGACCAACCACACTGGTAACACAGCCAGAATATGAAATGTAGGGTACTCATGAGGATCCCAGAGCGATATTTTAAATATTAGATTGTATAAGTACACAATGTTTATACAGGTAGCTCTCATCACCAAGGCATTTTTCAGAAACTCCTGCAAAGTGATGATGGTGGGCGTGATGATGGTGGTGATGATGATGGTGATAATAATTATGGCAGGTGTTGGTGGTGATATTGAGAATGATTGTCGTGATGATGGTGGTTGTGATGATGATGATAACGATGATGCCAGTAGTACCAGTGCTGCTGGTAATGTATGATGTCGAAAGTAGTGTTAGTAGTAGTGATGATGATGTTGGTAGTGATGAAGATGATAGAGGTGGTGATGGTAGTCATGTTGATTATGTTATGATGTTAATTACTTTACCTGTTTTTACCAGTGATACACACAGCACATGTTCCAGTGGGTACTTCAGGATTACTTAAGTAGTTCACATGAACATTTGCATCCTCCATAATTTTGGTCAGAGTTTTTCCAAATTCATCTTGCCCTACATTAAGAAACGAAAGCATGAGTGACGACTTGAAGAGTCTAACAACAATGAAAGCCGTACAGCTAATGCTGTTAGCTGTCTAGATGTAAGATGCTGCTTACAATTATTGCAATAGACCTAATCCCTGTCGTATGTAAATTGCCCATGTGATGTTGACATGATGTTCTCTGTAGAAATGTTTTCATATCCACATGAATATAAATGAATAAATTTCAGAAAGATAAAGGAACAATTATCTAGAGAACATCATGTAAATATCATGCGGTTTGAAATGGGCAATTCACATATGAAGATAATTAGGTCTACTGTGACTAAAACAATAGTGTGAAAAAGGCTTAATTGTTATGAGATTAGAGTAAGGAAAAGTTTGGAAAGCAGAGTGAGGAAAAGTTTGGAAAGCAGAGTAAGGAGCACCGATGAAAGAGTAATGAAATCCATTCAGCTGTGGAAAATCAGATTTTCAACAAAGAAAAAAATGAAGAAAAAAAAAAGGCAAAAAGCTATTGAGAAGAAAGAAGTTGAAGAAACGTACCAATACATCCCATGTAAGATGTGGCTTTCTTGGTATCTAAAAGCCACTATAACAATGATATATATAACAATTATTAATAACTGTCCCCAGTTATATCAGTGAAATGAATATGGATAAGTAGGTCTATGAATGGATGGATGGATGGAGGGAGGGAGGGAGGGATGGGATGGATGGATGGGTGGATGGATGGATGGGTGGGTGTATGGGTGATGGAATATTTAATATATGAAATGAACTGATAAGTAATAAATCTAGTGCCGTCAGAAATTTGATTGACAGAACCCAAGAACCCTGCATCTTGAAATATAACATGTTATTATATCTAAGTCACTAATTAAGAAATTGGGTACAAGTAGCTTTAAGCATTCTAAAGGGGAGGAGAGCAGTAAACATTCCTACCTGAGCCACACGTAAACTATTTTGAGTTGCTCCACCAGGAAGATATTCTACTTTGAAATTATCAACCAAGTCTTGGTATCTGGTTTAGCAAATTAAAAAAAAAATCACATGAGATAATTCAACAAATTTTTTTTTATCTGGAACACAACRAGATATCAAAAAATGAAAAATGCCGTCACAGGGTATAAATTGTTTTAGATTGTGTTACGGTCACCAAAACGTTCGGACATTGTTTTTGAATTTCCGTACAAATGTACTGACTCTAAATGAGCTATCTACTTGGTTTGTTTAGTTAGTTCTCTAAATACAAGTAAATAATCATTTTTCTAGCTTGATTGAAGCTTTTCTTACTGCTGTTAAGAGAGCTAACTAAAGAAATCTACCTAAATTTTCTCTTTAAAGTCAGTGAATTTGTATGGAAATCTGAGAACGATGTCCGAACTTTTTGGTGACCGTAACAATCCAAGCTAGCGCCAAAAAGGTGAATTGATAAAATAAAGATTGGATAGGCAAATTTTTCACTGCATAGCCAAGTTGTTATGTCGTACTAATTTTATTTATTTTATTTAAAAAAAACAAAGGCATTTTACGACTGGGCTGCCCCTGCAACCCAGTAAAAAACAAAAAACAAAGACAATTTACGACTGGGCTGCCACAGGCAACCCAATAAAACGTTTTGAATTTTCACCTTTTGAGAGGCCATGGATAATCTTAATGCATAGAAAAAACATGCCAAACTTCTAAAACTTGTTTTCCTCTTCTAGATGTCCAAATTTTGAGTGTTTTTTAATTTTGGAAAATCCGGAACCATACATAGATGGAATGGACTGGACTTYGGTTGGTTGGATCATACGGAATTTAGACGCTTCTTTAATGTCAAATTTCCAGCTTTTATCCTATGATTTTTATTTTATAACAAATAACTAGTGATTCTATTGCATAATTATGCAAAAAAAAAAAAAAAAAAAAAAAAAAAAAAGAGAGCTTTCTTTCTTGGGGTTAATGTAATTAGAAAAAAAAGTTAAAAAGAAATGAGATGAAAAGTATCAAAAAGTTCTATTTACACATTCGTCATTTTCTTTGAGAGTTAGAGAAAAGTTTTTGAAAAACTCATGCCCATTACTAGGCACATATTTCCAGCCATCGGGGTTTCTTGAGGCCTAGCCTATTACCTCTGTTTGTAACATCTTCAATATTTTCTTGGATTCTTCTTCATCATATTCAATATCCCTAGAAATAAAAGGAAAATTATCTTAAAAACCTATCAATCAACTATAATGTGTACAAACATGTTTGTTATCAGACTTGTAAGGGGCTGTAAGGATTTGGCCCTGACCTAGCATTCCAAGCTGCCACATTGGATATCTTAGGGCAATGCTTTACCACAGGGTGAAACAGATTGTGGGAAGGAGGGGGGGGTGGTAAATCTTTGTCATTGGCAATCCCCCCCTCCCTCACCAACTGCTCTGTAGTCCCTAGGTGCTTCAGTACATAATCAATGGTGCAAACTTTCTTCCCAATGTTTTTCTCCCAAAACTTAATGTCTCATCTCACCTCCTCTCTGCACAATATTACCCCACTTCCGAGATATGCTTNAAAAAAAAAAAAAAAAAAAAAAAAAGCAAAAAGATGCTCTTGAAGTTGTACTATGCATTTTTCTTTTAGAACTTGTGAACATTTTTTTTCACATCAAATTTATTCAAAAGGGTACGCCTTTTAAATGTGTTTTATTTTAATAAAAATGTACCGCTTTTGTGTATCTTTTAACCAGTGAAGTGGAATGACACTCGATTAGTAAAACTATACAGATGCGGTTTTGTAAGCGAAGAAAACAGTGTTGCGTTACTGACGTCCCTAAGTTTTAATAGCCTCCATCTAAAATTACACTGACGGCAACTAAAATTGACCTAAAGAGCTGATGAAATAATCATATGTATTTCAAGATACATAGCCAAATAAACGATATTAATTTGTTTAGAAATATGATTAAATGGTTATTCGTTTTTCACTAACTGTTTTGAAGTTCTCAATCTCTCCATTATTGATCACATTTTTCTAATATTGTCTTTTTAAATATACAAACCAGTGAAGTGGAACTGTGAAACTCAGTTAGTAAAAGGATTCAAAACTTAGAGAAAAGTATTTAATTACCAGCTCTATTACCGCATAGTACTTAACGATATATTTATGTATATGCCTTCAACATCAACTATAGACTGAAAGCCGTATTTTCCTTTAGGCTCTGCTAATCCACGCGATTGAAGCCAGAATACTGCTGACTGAGTAGCTGTATTAATTCTAATAAATATCGGAATTACAATCCTAGAAAGTCTTCTTTAACTGCTCCATTATATTACTTCTAAAGCCCAGAATTACATCCTCAGCAGCTAGGCCAATCTATGAGCCATTTATCTATGAACATGTCATTCAAATCCATATAGCCACTACACTATCCTTTTATGACCCCGGAGCACAGCTCTAGCCAGCTTGACAAAAATTAGGGTTAGTTCGAGAGGAGAGGGGAAAAACAAAAGCTAGAAAAACCCTCAGAGTCAGAGAAGCAAAAATTCTGGTTAATCTTGGGCAGTACAGTTAATATGGTAAGAGCAACCCCCTTGAAACCATCCTGGATCTGCAACTAAAAGCATGGATGTCAGTCATTAACTTACATTGGTTTATGCTTCTCGTCGGCAAGGATAGCATTGTTTGCCTCAAGTTCATATCTAAAGAAAGAAAAATAACAGAGTTTAGTTTTTGAAGTATGTAACGCCCAATGTTATTCCTTAAACATATTTACGACAATAAAATGAAATCAAAATTTAAACCCTTGTCAACTTACTTTTTGAGAACATCATGGTCCACAGTTGCAGAGATATCCAATAGTGGATTTCCCATTCCAAGAATGAGGCCTTCCCTGATATTTGAAGAGAGAAAATTAAAAGTCTGAATGTCAAAAGGTGGGGACTGACATTACTACTTAGAGGAGTTGGATTTGAGGGTGGTATAAGTGACGTGGCATGTGCATGTACAGCACTGCCAGTTCTTCCAGACAACGATATTATCAGATTAGATTTTACCACAGTGTTGCTATGAGGCAGCATGTTTATCTTCAACAACAAATGTGACAGCAGTCTTCAAAACTGTATTAAGTGATAGTTATTTGGTAAGAGTAGTTTTGCTGTAATTTAACATATTTCTTTACTTATAAATCAAGATTATGTTATGTAACCAGTGAAGGGAATATAAGGTGTATATACAGTCAATTCAAGAAATACTGATGTCGATCAATTCAAGCCAACGCCACTGGACCAAAAGAGTCTCAGGGTAGAAAACATGAAACGGTTGACTACATACGAACTGAAGGGGAAAATCTTTGTTTCCAAGCACCAGTACAATCACCGGCATCTTGTGATGCATGTTACTTCGTAGCAGCCATATGATTGATGATAACAAAGCATTCCTCATTAGCTTTTCTTGTTAGATCAACCAACATGGTGGCTGTTTCATTGCTATTTAAATCTCAAGGGATTTTGATACGTGGTTGCAACCCAAGAAATACGCCCCTTGGTTTAAAATTTTAGACAGCTATTCATGTCTGCCTCTATATTTTATGCCTAAATATTTTTGTACAAAAAGCGAACAAATTTCACTCACAGAATGGTCTGTCTTTACATTTCTACATATAGCTCAAACCTTACATCTACTTAATGCATTTTTTCGAATCAACTTGCATATTGCAAAACTGTAAAACAATGCTCAATAATCTTCAACTCCCGCTGCAGGAGCTATCAGAACAATTTTTTTGTTTTTAAAATAAATAATTTCAAATTCTGAATAACTAAAAGCATTCATATTCTTCAAAAGGTGATAACTGCGCATTTTTTGAAATTCTAGTCATAAGTTAACCTACCTAATTATGGGTTTACTTCGCTTAGATTCGGGCGCCATGTTGGTTGTGCAAGAGAGACAAGAAGAAGAATCGATCTAGTATTACACGTGGAATTCCCTTGGGATCCCTAGACCGGAGGTATTTGTACTTACCCCTACCCGGACGAAACATTTTGGACACATTACAATGACTTGGCGAAATACTTTGAATTTTTGTGTTCGTCAAAATAATAATAAAACTACACCATTGATTGAGCAATAAACTATATGTAAAAATATAATCAATTAAATTTCATAACCAAATTAAATTTCAATTCTGACTCTTTTGATAACTTATTTTTTGAATTAAAGTTAAAGGAACTTGATGCAGATGCTAAAAAAAGTCCATTGAAGTTTTGAAAAAAAATTTTTGTCCTACCCTTTTTTTGCATTATTTCCTGGTATAATGAAATCAAATATATTTTTACAAAGAAAAAGAGARCTTTTTAAGATAAAGAGTTTCAGCAAGCCTATTTTTGTGGTGGTTTGCTCCCCTCCTTTCCGTACGTCGTTACTTTGATCCAGTATTTAGCCACTTCCTTCTAAAAACTTTAAACTCTGGCCCTAGATAAAGAAATAAGAAGATATTTTTACAACAACAAACAAAAAAATACTTAACTAGACATTTTTTATGGACCCTTCCTCTTTTTTCTCAAGTTATTTTAACCCAATATCTAGCCCCTCCCTTCAATAAAAACTATAAAGTACGGTCCTAGTGTAACGAAATAAGAAGAGATTTTTGCGAAGAAAGAAATAATTTGTTATTTAGTCAATATTGTTTTTTCGGAACGCCTATCCAACTGGGGGTGCCTTGGGGTAGTAAGCCCTCCCTTTCATCGTTACATTAATCCAGTATCTGGATCCTCCTATCTAAAAACTATACATATGGCCCTAGCATAAATCATGGTCATAACAATATAAAAAGATAAAAAGAAAGAAATATTGTTTATGATATTTTTTTCACGCACGCCTATCCATTTTGGGGTGACCTGGGATAGTACCACGTAAACCAGTATCTAGATCCTCCTATCTAAAAACTCTACATCCGGCCCTAGCATAAGATATGGTCGTATAACGAAATAAAAAGATAAAAAGAAAGAAAAGGGAGAGATATTTCTAATGGGATTTTTTTCACGCCTATCCATTTTGGGGTGGCCTGGATAGTACCACGTGATATGGGCCGCCGGTAGATGGTCAAAGCGCGTGCGTATTGTGTCCGCCATTTTGCAAGGAACGCAACAGGAAGTTTGGCAGGAGTGAGTGAATTCTGCTTTTTTGTGGAGTTCTTCTTGATCCCCAAGAACAAAATAAAAGATGGCCCTCAAAAGAATCAACAAAGTAAGGGAATCACTTATTCTTTGGATGTTTTTTCGTGGTGAGAAGCCCTTGGCTTGGCTGGAAAAACGTGTTCACGGGCTTGTGACTTGCAGTGGATAAAGGATGGTGACCCGACAAGAATTCCATCAACTTTCGTTTGCTCTCGTTTTTACCTCGAAGAATTGACCGAAGAACCCAACTAAGCTCTTGTTTTATACCCAGTTGAGTTGCTTAGGCTTTGGAGGATAATATTTGTGTTATTTTACGCTAGGAACTTCAAGATCTTGGTCGAGATCCTCCAGCACAATGCTCAGCCGGACCAGTGGGCGAAGATCGTAAGTGAAAATTCCATACAGTACTTCGTCTTTTAATGCAAACCTTCCTAATAAAAGCATTATTTACTCTCCCTACTGACATTTATACTATCTATAACATTTAACAGGATTTTCGATCCAAAATCAAGCCTAAACACTGAATTCTACTAGATTTTTCCAACCACTTTTCACTTCTAGACTGACACATAGTTACAAACTCTTCTCTCATATTTTGTCTTTTATTCTCCATTTTTTTCYTAGTATTTCATTGGCAGGCAACTATTATGGGGCCGGTGAGTTGAATTTTATATGATACTTCTGTTTTTATTCAGCATTTCGATAAAAATTGGGTTTATKTTTTGGGTATTATTGATGTTAAAACTTTCTATTCTTGTTTTAGCCCGACAGTCCTTACCAAGGAGGAGTTTTCTTCCTTACAATTCATTTTCCAACCGATTACCCTTTCAAACCACCAAAGGTATGTTAAATTKTATTTAAAATATCCAAGATCTTCAATCAATATTCCCTTATTTAACTAATGAAATCCTATAAWTTTTTTTTAAAATGAAGTTTCCTCATATGTGGTGCAACTTGAGAGACGAAAATCTTGATATCCGGCCACTTTCAACCTAAAATAAAACCAAAAAAAGGTGTTAGCTTAAATCTTTATATCTTTTTATCATCACACTTGGGAAATTCATACCCGTGTTGAGTTATACCAAACGTTATTTTTTGAAAAGGGAACATTTYGACAAGTTTTATCGTTAGTTTTTGTACAATATGATAGACAATTGTTCATGTACAATTCATGTAGTACGATTTGTGTTGTTGTCGCGATCTGGTCGAAATTTTCTTTAACACTCAAMGGTTCTGTTAAATAGCACTCAAAAAAGAGTAAACTGATGTCTTAGCTTTTAAAATGTTTATAAAAACTGATCATGATGGAAAATTATTTATTTGATACGATAAATTTATCTGATTTGGACTGAATATATAGGAGTGCATTTCGCAATGTTTCTTAGAARTTCACTTCTGGCTAATCGTAGTCTTTGATTTTCAAGGATTTTATTCGCTACTGATCGTTCTTAGCACCTTTAGTTTTGATTTCTAATGGTATATAGTTTATTTTTAGTAGATTATGCTTTTTACGAAGTTCCCAAAATGCATGACAACACTCCATAACAAACATAACGTCAGTAATATGACTCAACTAATTTGTATCCTACCTTGCCGGCGAACACAAGGGGTTTCCCTGCTCAACCTCACGAAATTTGAACAAAACGATGCATCTAATCCTTTTACATCTGTTWAGTAACATTAGATTTGTCTTTGGAAGGCAATTTTTAATTATTAATACATAATTTAATTTACAATGTATTAAGAAGTTTGAGTGAAATTTGTTATAAGATATTGCTAACTGGAGTTATTGTGAAGCTCAGCTTGTTATAGACGTTATTGTATAGGTGTCTGTCTGTGTGTCTGTGTGTATGTTTAGTGCATTGATGTCAAAGACGCATTACAATTTGATCAAGAAATTGAAATTATTCATCAAACCATTGAAAAAAGCTTTTCCAGCAATGCTTCAAGTTTATAACAATGTRATGCACATGTCACGCTAGTGCTATACTGTTTTCGAGTTATTCCACATTTATCATTACCAATCAAGCTTTGGAGTGGTTCCCTTAAAGGAAAGCAGTAACCTTAACAAGAGAGGCTGTTGCCGACTGTTTYAACTTCTTTTGATCACTAAAAGAAACCTTTCTTTGTTCTCTGCAACAGTTATTACTAAATTCTATGCCTGTCACATATTTTGATCAATTGTAATGCGTCGTTGTGTATGATTCAGCTATTAGTTTTTAGATTAAACAGGCATAAACCCAATATAAAGAGTACAAAATATTTAGAGTGTAATGCCCTGTCATAAGCACAACACCTAACTTTGTTTTCTTGATTTTCTAAGATCCTTGTTGTAGCAAATGAAATCATTTGTTTTACACACGTTCACATCAAAGCTAACCTTATGAATTGTTTTCTATGCAGCTCGCATTTACCACCAAAATATATCACCCTAACATCAATAGTAATGGAAGTATTTGTCTGGATATACTAAGATCTCAGTGGAGTCCTGCATTAACTATTTCAAAAGGTTTGTAATTTGTCTTATTGGAGGCGAAGCCACTTTTATACTAGACAGAGTGAAACCCTAATTTGGAATCATGTTGATTTTGTAAAAATAGGGMTAATTTGTTCGTTAAGAGCATTGTTTAACAAGTAAAGGGTATGGGGGTAAAGTAGGGAGCATCTTTGAGTGCCTTATATACATGAGCCCCTGGCTTGGAAGAATGAGCCTGAAGCAAGATGACGTTTTACACCCGTCTCTAGACCATAATCCTTTTCACATCGCTTTTGTTCTTTAATTATGACTATTGTTCCTGTATTCTCTAAGGAATCAAAATTTTAATATGAAAGAATTTTAAAAACTATTATGGTATAGAGTCGGGGGTAAAACGTCATCTCACTTCAGGCTTACCACTACTGGGAAACCACTACTGGCATTAACAAAGTAAATTAAATTATCTTTATCTTTTAAATTTGCCCTAACAAGACTAGACTTTACGAAGAATTCTGTATTCAATATTCATGACATTAGAGTGAATTYGTATATATTCACAGCTTTACATGCTATCAAGTGTTTATTCCCATTTGAATGAGTTTTTCTAATATTCTAATGAGCTGTGTGGAGCAGACTAAATAGAAATACTGCAAGAGACAGAACTTGCAATAACAATCAAAACAAGAAAATGAATACCTCATTACTTGCAAAACTGGCACAACTGGTTAACATGAGGGAATTTAAGTGATTATTTGAATTATGCAAAGTMAGCAAAAAAGCTTAGTTATCCTCTCAGGATTCTTACACAACACTTATTTTGCTAGCAGGCATATCCACAAGTAGGTTTGGAAATAATTATCAAAGCAGTTTTCACAGGATTTCTTTACGACCACTAAATGCAGCTCATTAGAAATAATATTCGTATGATACTATTTTAATATTGAAGGTAGAGTGTAAACCATAATATGGTTATATATTATATCCGTGAAATGGCACAAAAACTAAATAGCACTAAACATATCTATTTCTTTTGACTTCAATTATTTCATTGATGCTAGAGTGACCACAGTAAATCCGTGAAACACTAATTACTAAATAGTACAAAATAGTGCTAGTTAAACAATAGAAAACAAGTGAATTTGCATGAAATTGTGCTATTTAGTATTACTAAAGTTTCACGGATTTACTGTGGTCACTCTATTTTGCACTTATTAGTTTGTACTATTTCACGGATATAATATGGTTTGCACTCTAACAACATAATTTCAAACTATTTTATAATAATTATCTGATGGTCATYGCTTTTGTTTTCAGTTCTCCTATCTATTTGCTCACTATTGTGTGATCCCAATCCAGATGACCCACTTGTACCTGACATTGCACGTTTGTACAAGACCGACAGATCTAAATACACTGAATTGGCCAAAGAATGGACAAAGAAGTATGCTATGTGACACTAGCAATGTTTCATAAATGTGCYGTGACTTATTTGATTGATGTATTTACAGACAGTTTGTCAGCTTTTCTGAGCATCGTGTTAGCTAACTGTTTGTACCACTGTGCCTTAATGTCTTTGTATTTCATATTAATATTATTGTTTTGATGTATCGGTGTCTATGTTATAACAGGATCACATAATACTAGTCTGTCRACAGAGATAGTGGATCAAATATACATGTAAAAACAAGTGTCTTTAGCTAACACATTCTAYCTTTGAAACGAGCTCCAGCACGTAGAAGCTGTCACATTGCTAGTTTTGATTCCTTTTTTGGTATGAGAATATTAGATTTCAATGTATAAAGGATGTAATAACCGTCACGTATACAGAAGTGAAAAATCATATACATGTATGACCAAAAATGAGACTACACTTTCATAGTYCTATAGTGTCTCTGATACGTGTATTGCACAAAAGCTTATCAATACCTATGCAAGGCAACAATAATCACCTTTATTATAGTATACTCTAATATTTCACGGGAATAATACATCCATGTCTTGTTGTACAAAGGTTATTATYGTTGTCTTATATTTTTTCTTTTTGCTCTGAGATAACAAATGTGCTGGATCAAGATAATACGAGTACAACATAACCATCCTTGTTTAATTGTCATTGAAATAGAAGAATCCATATTGAAAAAGGCACAGCTGCATTTAACCTCGATACTTCCTAAGCAAATGGGAAGTTTGCACCACCATCTAGTGAACATTTTAAATATTAAGACCAACAAAATATGATTTGAAAGATCATCATAACAACATCCCTGGTTACATCCTATTTCTGTGACCTAACCAACTCCAAATGTTTGGAGCCGTTTGGCTCCTGCCAATCAAGTTGACCATGGGCTAAGTAGATTCCAAAAGTAAACGATAAATATTCCTGCTACTCAACAGCCAATTTTGCTTGTGATCAGTATGCACTTTGCCTTTRGTAAATTTTTTTGGCAGTAGCCAAAATGACAAAAAACTCCAAGCATCTGGAGTGGTTTAGGTTACAGAAACATGAAATGGGCTGTAATGTCAGTAAAAGGGAARAGTTTGAAGAATATTATTCAAATATGACTAAGGTAAGATGTTATCTACCAACATACAAATCCATACAAAATGTGCAATTTTTTGGACTTCAATAAGTTTTTTTTATGTTACCTAGATGTATCTCAAACTTTCAACTTTTACTAACTTTAACATGGTCTTTCCAAACATATTTTTGTTAGTSTTGAATTAATATTTAAAATGTTACACTAGAGGTACAATCTCCCCATTCCACCGAAACAAAGACTGAAAACTTACAAAAGCATCTCTGTTGAGGTGGTWATTTGAATTTTTCTTTATTGGAAGAATTGTGGTTAAATGCATTAGATGCAAACATTTTTCATTATTGCCGATTTGTAAAAATTAATGTCAATCCAATAAGTTCTTATTTGTTGAGTCAGATGTAGGTCCAATACTATCAATCCAGTAATAATTTTCAATAAACATGTGAATGTGTGMTTGTAGTAATACTTATCTTTAAATAATGAATACATTTTTTATGGGATGTCAAGGGTTTTCATATGGCTCTGTACAACTTTAGGGGGCGCATGGCACAAACATGCACAATATCGCAACTTGCAATTTTTTAAATGTTGATGACATAACATGCTTTTTCTTTTTAAACTTTTATTTACTATTTCTTTCTTTTATTTTATTATTTAGTTTTGTGAGGGTCATATAATAAAATGCTTATTGACCGAGTTAGGTCGGGCCGTACGGGAAAAAATTTGGCTCTCGGTATTTGTATGGCATCACCTCGAGCCAAATATTTTCCCATACGGCCTGACCTAACTCGGTCAATAACTACATAGCCTGTTTGCTATCTTTTTTGATTAACTTAAAAATCGATTTGTGCTTGGTAGATAAATTTATAGTGGTTATCAAAAACCYGTGAAACAAAGTGTAATAACTAAGGTGTAATAAATTGTAATAGACCGAAAACACGAAAGAAAATCAAAAGAAAATGCAGACAATAAAGTGTAATACGCTAAAGTGTATTTCACGGGTTTTTGAAAACCATTCTACTTGCTGATTAGCAACTTTCACCCAATCCCCACTGAGCTGGTTTAATAAATAAGTGGCAAAGTGTGCATTTTCTAKTGGGAATAAAAAGATATGTTRAAAGGTTATTGTTTTCTGCTGCTTTCTGATTGGCTCCACTACCCAAAGTTGGAATATGTTGTTTCCATTCTACAWTAATTTGATTGGTTCTTGGTGGCACCAKYTGTAGTAGTTGCACTGTAACAGTTTAGGGGTTTCTGTATGCAGTAGCTCTTTTCRTAATAGTCGCTTAACAACTGGACCATTCCAGGGGTATGCTGGGATGAATCCATTCACTTTAGCCAGGAATGGTGAAAAAGACAGCTACATCACTACAGATTATGTGAGACGGTCAATACTAATGCTTCCGTTTACTGAATCCCGAGTTACAATCATATGACATCCTGACCGCGTACAAAGTTACTGTGTTTCGACTATACCAATAAACACCCCCTCTCAATTAAGCCCCCTCTCTCCAATGAGCCCCCCCCCCCAAACATGCCTGAAATAAATAAGCCCCCCGGGGTGCTAAATAGAGGATTTTAGGTATTTGCTCTCTCCTGAATGACCCAAACCCAGACGACCCCCTGGTGCCAGAAATAGCACGAATATACAAGGAAGACCACAAGAAGTATGAGCAATTAGCATATGACTGGACAAAAAGATGTAATTCGATAAGAGCATTGTGTGGTCCTAGAAAATTTCCATTCTCCACAAATGATGAATGAATTTGAAAAAAAGATCCCCTCACGGCCTCCGAAATTTACAATTCTTTTCCATGCAAACCTCTTAATTTTTTTTCCTTTGACCATCCACCCTCTGGGAATTTCCAGTTACCTCAAAGTTTGGGTATGGACATATTATTATACATTTTTTGTAACCACACATTTACGAGGGATATGTGTGAAGTCTTTTGAAGGGTTGACTCTAGTTAGTGTATTTCTATTGTGTGAATGTGTGTCGTTGTTGTGTTTCATGTTCTATACTTTGGTTCTAGTATATTAATAGACTTGGTGTTAATCTTCGGCAAAGTATTTCTTTGCATTTGTCAAAAACTGGAAAGAATAAATTTTTTTTATTGTTAATCAAATTTATCTTGTAATATAATCAG